AAAATGGTACTCGCACATAAACAATTTTATGAATGGAAGTAGAAGCTTGATATATGTTTCTATTAAAGATTGATAAGATATTGAGCTGATTGAAGAGAGGGGCAGAGTGTTGGGTGTGGTTGCTATTGGTAGAAATTCAGGACTTTTTTTGTAGAACATAAAGCATGTGTAGGTGAGTGGGATAGGGAGCTCCCCAAATGACAATACAATATATAAGGTAAGGATGCATTAAGATATAATAAAGGGTTCATAGACACTTCTGGTGAACCAAACTTTTAATCTTGCCAATGTTACCAACAGATCTGGATATTTTATTACAGACAGACTGAATGTGTCTTCCATCTTAAGGTTCATCAGTCGGAACTCGCTAGCTCATATTTCCAATGGAGAGACAAGAGTTGTATATAAAGTATTTTTTGTTCTTTGAAGAAAATACGATGAAATTAGATTTTTTGAAATTTAAAGGTAATTTGTTTGACTGAGACTACTTAAGATTTTTTGTAAGTCAGGCTTTGCTTTGGCCATCAGTATGGAGAAATCAGAATGTGAGACAAATAAATTGGTATCATTAGCAAAGAGTACAGGGAACATGGAGGATAATGCTGCAGTTAGATCATTGATGTAAATAAGCAATAGCAATGGTCCCAAAATAGAACCCTCTGGAACCCCACATGTTTAAGTCACCCTATCAGATGACGATCCATTAATGTTAACAAATTATCGATGATGATGAAAATAATTGTACACCAATTTATGAGTGATTCCAGTAAAGCCATAGTATTACAGTTTTAATAGTAAAATTTTATGATAAACAGTATCGAAAGCTTTGGATAAGTTGAGAAAAAATCCCAAAGCATATTCCTTGTTATTTAGCGCAGTGTGAATTTCGTCTACCAGTTGAAGCACAGCCATTTCTGTGAAAACATCTTCTGAGTTAGAGTCATTTTTGTGAAAAATGTAAAAACGTTTCTTAGGCAGGAAACAGACATAATGAATAAAGATAGTCTTGTCCCTCTTGGTATGTGTATGTATTTTAAGTTCATAAGGTTTTGGTATCAGTCTGTTTCATAACCAGCTCAGAGCTTCTCACAGGAACTTTTGTACAACTATTCCTGTTGACTCTAAAGTCCACCTTCATGTGTATCTCTTCATAAATTGAGACCTCTTGCTGTCAGAGGAGAACATTTCCTTCAGAAATGAACTGATTTCCAAGTTGAAACATCCGGCATCTTTACAGTCAGAGGAAGAGGAAAACCTCTGTCCTTGTTCTGTAAAACTTTACCAACTTCTTCTCCAGCTCTTCTCCTCTTAGCCCTGTTGACTCTGTGCATGAGTGGCTCATTTCAAGTTATTGCTTATCTTAAAATCCATTTCTCTCTCTGCCTCTTCAGTGCCTGTCAGATTTATGAGTGTGATTTTTTTTTTTTTTTCATTGTTCTTCAGTACGGATATTGATAAAGCCCATGGCTGGAACTAGGCGGGCTGGAATCAGAGTGACATTTAGGAAGACAGAGAGACCACAATGATAAATGCTCTGCCAGATTCTCGGATTCCGCTCACCTGAAAAGATGATTGTTTCTGGTTGACATTTGAAGCTAATGCAGAGTCCAAAATGCCAAGTAAATCTCTTTCCATTCCTCCTTTGTCATTGTGCAGCTGTACACATGTCCAGGATGATTTGAACTTACATTACTGTAGTGTATCCACTGAGACACACAGATTTACAATCTTTAATAGAAACCCCACTCTGTAGGGGTAAAAAGCTGCTCCAAGTCAGAGCTATAGTGCCAGTATGTACAGGAGAGATGGCAGAGGCAGATAACAGGAATACTTAAAAGGTGTGTTTCGCTTTTTTTTTTTTTAAGGTGTGAGGTACTCTTCAATTGTGAGTGTATTTGCCACCACATTGTTGGTTGTTTCTACTTTACTGTTTACAAAATTTTACTAATGTTTGTGGCTTGTGCATAAACATGTAGACCCAGGGTCTGCACCACAATCCACATCTGGACCAAGGACCACCTCTTTGTGGACCCAGAGCAAAAAAAAAAAAAACTAATAACACAGCACGGCACTCTCTCTGACTGACTGACCGAGAAAGAGAGAGAGAGAGAGCGTGTGTGTGTGTGTGTGTGTGTGTGTGTGTGTGTGTGTGTGTGTGTGTGTGTGTGTGTGTGTGTGTGTGTGTGACTGTGCGCATGCTTATGCTTGCATTATGGGCTGCCATTCCCATGACAACGATGCGCCGATGGCTGAAAACTACGCAAACCGGCAGTCCCAAATCTTCCTCCTTCAGTCTGTCTTCTTTGCACGGCGCAGGCAGTGGTAACGTCTTTGCAGCAGGAGCGTTGCTCACACCCAGCACCCGACATCAAAACGGCAAATCAGAGAAAGGTGGACACTGAAAATCGCTGATTCACTGACGAATGGACCGACAAATATATGATTATCTTACCTCCTTCAAGCACAAAGCCAATGTGTCTTTTGTGCAAAGCACTGTTGCTCTAATAAAAAGTGAAAACATAAAACACCCTTATGAGAAGTGATTTTGATAGAGATTGCCCTCCAAAATCTGAGCTACAAACAGATAAAATAAAAAGCTTATTTTATTTTATTGAGTAATACTAAGTAAGAAAGAATATCAGTGTGATGCTGAAAATCAATGTTTTTGTGCCTTCCAATAACTCCTGATTATTACAGTACAGTACACCCAGCCTAAAACTACATAAAAAACATTAAAAAAGGTTAAAAAATAAAAATAAAAAAAAGCCTTTTTTTTCGCCGCCAGGCATGCGCTGTGGACCTATAACCTCCTTAAAATTTATTTTCTTGACCTTTTACATTTCTAATTGAGAACCCCTGATGTAGAGTTTCAGCTTCTCTATCCGCTATGACAAATTAACTTTGCCCAACACGCACACACACACACAAACACGCACACACACACAAACACACCTAAACTTCATCTGAGTCTAAATTGAGTCTTATAAGAGTAAACACTCTACAGAGATTAACTGGACAAAAATATACTTTAAAGAATATTACGTTAGTTAGCATGCTAATCAAGAAGTTACGGCCTGTTATAGGTGCACATAAAAAATAAATGATAAAAGACTATATGTGCACAATAAATCTATTAGAAAAGTATATTCGCTGATGTAACTAGTCTGGGATAATAAAATGCTTACACTGGACTCAGTGTTCTGCACACGCTACATAGCTTGCATGTCAAGGAAAGTATGGAGCATGGATAGGAGAACAGCCAAACCCCCTCAGCCATTAAGTTGCATACAGTTTTAACATGAAAGTTTAATAGCATAAACACACACTAAATGTTAAAAAGCCTGGTAGTAAAACAAAGCTTGACACCTGCAACACATAAATACATAACAGCTTCATCACCATTTTTTACATCCCTTCTTCCTGTATGTGAAGTTGTGTACTTTCTTCATTTAACACACAAGCCAGTACCTCTTGCTAATGTTTAATTCTTCTGTAAAAATTGTAGATGACATGAGACTACAGACAATTTTTCCAAACGAGGATCAAGGAAGTTCTTCTTATCTTATCTTTGTGTACTTATGGAATGTTTTGGTAGATGACATTGTTGCTCAACCAGGAGATAGGCCAGAAAGAATTAGGTGACAAGGAGCACTATGCTTTTTATGGTAATGGGGGCAGACAAAAATGGGATTCCTGTCTAGTGCCTGTAATCTGGGAGGAGTCTGATTGAATCATCTAACTGATCTATAACGATAGCTCCACTGAACCTGTAATGACCTGTAACGGTAGCTTGATATAACTGTGCATGTAAATATACATTCTGGTAAAAGCAAAACTAAAACTCGTATTCATCAAAACATTGAAATAAAGACAGCTTCAAAAATAAACTTTTCATCAACCAACAACAAAAATTAATTAATTTAAAAAGACCTATAAATATTTTGAAACCTGATAACCTTGTTTCAAACACATCCATATTTAATCCTGCTGTACCAGGATACCAGGATGTTTGAAGGACAAGGGTAAAATGGATTTAGTCGTACAAAGTTACAGTTCTTTTTGTTTCATTTCCTTTTTCTGTCCTTGTGACTGCACTGTTATTTTATATATATGTAAAACAGTTATCCACATCAGTCAGGATGTTGGCTATAAAGTTAATCCTTAAATAAATCTGACCCTCTGTCCTCGTTGGGGTCTAACCTCAGATTCTCCCATCCATTATAAACCAGGAATGACACTGAGTTTTTTTCTTTTTCTTTAAGGAATGTTCCTTCATCAGGCTTCATTTCTTTTGTGTCTTACTGTTTAGATTCTCAGTCTGTCAGTGTCTTCTGCTCTGATGATCCATTGTCGGTGTACATCTAGCGTTGTTGTTGTGTATTTCACAGCTGTCTCTCATCCTTAGGCCAGTCAGTGAACTTTCATGAACCAGTCTATCTGGCAGTTAAATGGATCATCCTGTCCAAGCCTTAATCCAGCGTGTGTATGTGCAGCAAAGAAAAACGTTAGGACCCAGCCTAGGGGTATGCTGGACGTAACATAAAGTGCTCCTTCCTTTGCCCCAACTCCCCAAGAAAACTGACAAGCAACCAGAATTTGCAGTCTTAAATGAATTTATTGCTTAACATAAATGGTAGTCGACTTCAAGGTGGGCACAGGCCAAAACAACAGACAAAACCTCCTTTATTTAAAGCTATCTTTCCTAACAAAAGAAATTGTATTAAATAAAATACAAAGGGTCTTACCTGCCTCCCTAACCCAAAACACGAGAAAAGTTTGTGAAATCAAATAGCTGCCCACCCCTACCTACCAGACTGCTCTTAAAACTTAAACTATTTGTCATGAAAGACAAATCAAAATTCACCAAGTTTCCAATATTCTAACACAAAAGGAGCCTCCACGAAACACAGGTCTGGCTGGGAGTCGAGACAAAGGAATGAGAGAAGGAGCTCCTCCAGCAGTCACCCTTTTCACAGCTTCCCTCCTCAGCTGCTGTCCAATCAGGCCACAGTCCTCTCCTGAAAAACAAAACAGACACAGGAACAGCACCTACCACAGGTAGGGAGGGTTACCCACAAACAAAATGTGCTGATGAAAAGAAAACAGGAAACCTATGACCCCTGGTCATAACACCCCCTACCTAAGATCAAACATTTATTCTCTCTAAATAAAGGTTTGAAACACTGAAACATCAAAATTACCATAGCACCCTAAACGCAACACGAGGCACACCTTAACAACCTACCCGAGACAATGTATCAGCTACCAGATTATCTGCCCCTTTAATGTGGGGGATCTCAATATAGTAGTCCTGTAACAGTAAGGACCAACGCATAAGGCGCTGGTTGTGGTTGCGCATGCGTGACAAAAACTCAAGGGGGTTATGGTCAGAATAGACGATAACCGGAACGGGACTGGAACCGACATAAACTTCGAAATGCTGTAAAGCAAACAGTAAGACGAGGGCTTCCTTTTCTATGGTGCTGTACTTAAGCTGATGCTTATTGAATTTCTTAGAGAAGTAGCACACGGGATGGTCGATGCCTTTATCATCTTCCTGCAAAAGGACCGCGCCTGCACCATAAGCACTGGCATCTACCTCGACCTTAAAGGGACGGTCAAACACAGGTGCTGACAAAACGGGTGCACTACACAGAAGAGCCTTGGCGGAAGCAAAAGACTCCTGGCACACGTCAGTCCACTCGAACTTTACAGCAGGGCTAACTAAGCTAGTGAGGGGTGCAACAACGCTGGTAAAGTTCCTACAGAAGCCTCTGTAGTACCCACACATGCCCAGAAAATGCTGCAGTTGCCGACGTGTTTCTGGCACAGGAAAGTCTAGGATGGCTTGGACTTTGGCCGACAGGGCGCATTTGTCCCTGTCCTACCTGCTTACCCAAGTAGGTGACCACAGCTTTTCCAAATTCACACTTGGCTAAGTTTAATGTGAGTGAAGCAGCTTCCAACCTTCTGAACACTTCTCCTAGGATGTTAACATGCTCGGGCCAGGTGGAGGAGTAACAGACAATATCATCCAGGTAGACTTCACAATTCTCCACACCTGAAAGGACTCTATTCATCAGCCGTTGGAAAGTGGCCGGCGCATTCCTCAGCCCAAAAGGCATCACGGTGTACTGCAAGAAGTGATCAGGGGTGACAAAAGCAGAGATGTCGGATGCATGCTCTGTAAGGGGCACCTGCCAATACCCTTTAAGAAGGTCTAACTTCATTACATACTTGGCCGACCCCACACGATCTACACAGTCATCCATACGGGGCAAGGGAAAGGAATCGGGCTGGGTGATGGCATTCACTTTTAACACATGATCTAAATTTTTGCCTATAAGCCTCGGGCACAAGCTCATAAGCCCTCAGCACAGTAGCTTTAACGATGTCATAGTTTAAGCTCTGCTCAAGTGTGAGGCTGGCACAAACCTCCTGGGCTTTACCCACCAACTTGCATTGGAGCAACAGGGACCAAACATCCTTTGGCCAATTAAGAGCAGCTGCTATCCTTTCGAATGCACTGAAGTACGAGTCCACCTCAGACTCTCTGAAGGACGGAACAAGAGCAATGTGTTTGCTTACATCAAAACTGCTTGCAGATAAGTGTGGGGTTTGCTGACTGGGTTGACTGGGGGTGCTAGGCAGGCGTTCCAGCTCCAAAGCTCTCACCCTCAGATGCATGGCCTGCACCTCCATCTCCTTCAGGTGGAGGGTCAGTCTGAGCTCCTCAGCCGACATCCCCAGCAACACAGGAGGGTCAGAAAGGGCGGCAGCGACTGGTGGAACTGTCTGTGGGGGTGCCACATCAGCCTTTCCTGCATCTCCCAAGGGCAGCAAACCTCTATCCACAAGCTGACCAGTTACAAGCTGAAGCAGCTCCTCCTTCTTAGGATTCGCTGCTACATCAATATTACATTGATTTGCAATGAGTAACAAATCAACTTTTCTACATTTTTGTAGCTGCTCTAAAGTGGGATTCTTCACAAAATTTTCCAAATTACACTCCATCGTGCCAAAAAAAAATACCAACCAGAATTATCTTAAATACACAACACTCATACACACCCCAAGTAACAATTGATCCCGGATGAGCCCCCAAGTTATGTTACGACCCTAGGGGTATGCTGGACGTAACATAAAGTGCTCCTTCCTTTGCCGCAACTCCCCAAGAAAACTGACAAGCAACCAGAATTTGCAGTCTTAAATGAATTTATTGCTCAACATAAATGGTAGTCGACTTCAGGGTGGGCACAGGCCAAAACAACAGACAAAACCTCTTTTATTTAAAGCTATCTTACCTAACAAAAAGAAATTGTATTAAATAAAATACAGGGGGTCTTACCTGCCTCCCTAACCCAAAACACGAGAAAAGTTTGTGAAATCAAATAGCTGCCCACCCCTACCTACCAGACTGCTCTTGAAACAACTTAAACTATTTGTCATGAAAGACAAATCAAAATTCACCAAGTTTCCAATATTCTAACAAAAAAAGGAGCCTCCACGTCTCCATGTCTGGGAGTCGAGACAAAGGAATGAGAGAGAGAGCTCTTCTTCTTCTTCTTCTTCTATGGTGTTTATTGGTGGTTGGCAAACCAACGAGAAGGTGCAGTACCGCCACCTACTGGACTGGAGTGTGGAGCAGTAAATTGGTAGACAGAAAAAATTGATAAATAAATTAAAAAAAAAAAAAAAAAAAGGAATTAGATCCTCTCCAGTAGCCCCGTGTTTTTCAAATATGCCATTAGATGCTTGATTACAATTTCTGATTCTGAACTTAGTAGATTCCCCATGCTAAGTGCCATCTTGGTTTCCTGCACTGCTGCTGCCAGTATCCTCCTTTGCTCCACATATCCTCTACAATCTAACAACACATGCTGGACAGTCTCAGCCTGTCCACATTTGTCACAACTGCCATCTGGGTGTTTTCCTATCTTATACAGTGTGTTATTCAGTCCTGTGTGTCCTATCCTCAGACGTGTGATGATTGCTTCCTCCCTTCAGTTCCTGCCCCTTCTTCTTCCCAACCCAACTTTTTCCTGTATGTTATAAAGATGTCTTCCCGTATCTTGAATGTCCCAGTATTCTTGCCATACTTTCTTCATATGTTTTTTGATTAGTGATTTACCCTCTGCCTTACTTAACGGAATTTCTGTATTTACATTGTGAGATTTGAGTGTTTGTTTGGCCAGAAAAATCAACTTCTTCATTCCCTTCTATACCTACATGGGCAGGAACCCAAATAAAACACACTGATAAACCCCTCTTGTAAATTGTATAAAGTAGATTGTGTATTTTATATATGAGTTCTTGCCTACATGACTTCATGGTTTTGATGCTTGTAAGAGCTGCCCAACTGTCTGATGCTATTAGTGTATTGTTTTGATTGTTTGCTTCTATCCATTCCAAACCTAAGATTATAGCAACTAGCTCAACTGTATATACTGATAGATGGTCTGTGGTTCTTTTCTTGATATGTGTTTTGTAGTGTGGAATGAGAACTGCAGCTCCTGTTCTTCCAGTATCAGGGTCTTTTGATCCATCTGTGAAAATCCATATTTTATCTGAAAAATGTTGTTCTAGGTACCTAGCAGCTACTCCTCCCGCAGAGACCTGCCTATTCCTTTTTTAGGGCCCGAGCGTAGCTGCTAAGCAGCTGCGAGAGCCCTATTATTCCCCAAGTGGTTTTTCTTTGTTTCTTTCTTTCTTCTTTTTCCTCCCCTTTGAACTGGAAAATGGCCCACTTCCCACTGGCGAAAACTCATGAAATTTGGCAGGATGACCGGGCCTGGTGAAAAATTTGATATTCCGAAGTCGCCCAAACAAGAAAATGCAAAATGGCTCCATAGCGCCCCCTAAGGTGAAAATTCACACTATTGACTGTCACGCCTGTACGCTTTGTCAAAATGACACAAAAATTGACACACATATGTATCTCAATAAGATCTACAAAAAAGTCAGTGCGGGCGTATCTGTCAAATGTACGGTTAAAGGGTTATTCCGCATTTTTTGCTGATCCGCACACATTGGAATTTCGCTAACTCCTCCTAAGGCTGGCGTTCCACCGGCACCACATTTGCTCAGGCCAATCTACACCCCATGGCCATTAAAAGTTATTCAAATCATGACGCTGCACCCCACGGTTTAGGTTCTAGGGGGCGCCAAAGATAACCCTAAAATCCACATATTTAAAAGTCTTATAACTTTTTATTTTTGCCCTCACTGGCCTCCAAGTTTTCTAGGATGATGCAATGTCCAGCCATCAACACATTTGTGAAGGAATTTTTACTCCCCAAAAGAGCGCCCCCCCATGGCCGGAGAAAAAAGTCAATTTTTTCTTGTCCCCTAAGGTGAAAATACACATTGTTGAGTGTCACGCCTTTACGCTTTGTCATATTGACACAAAATTTGACACACACATGTATCTCAATAAGATCTACGAAAAAGTCAATGCGCGCATATCTGTCAAATGTACGGTTAAAGGGTTATTCCGCATTTTTTGCTGATCCGCACACATTGGAATTTCGCTAACTCCTCCTAAGGCTGGCGTTCCACCGGCACCACATTTGCTCAGGCCAATCTACACCCCATGGCCATTAAAAGTTATTCAAATCATGACGCTGCACCCCACGGTTTAGGTTCTAGGGGGCGCCAAAGATAACCCTAAAATCCACATATTTCAAAGTCTTATAACTTTTTATTTTTGTCCTCACTGGCCTCCAAGTTTTCTAGGATGATGCAATGTCCAGCCATCAACACATTTGTGAAGGAATTTTTACTCCCCAAAAGAGCGCCCCCCATGGCAGGAGAAAAAAGTCAATTTTTTCTTGTCCCGTAAGGTGAAAATTCACATTGTTGAGTGTCACGCCTTTACGCTTTGTCATATTGACACAAAATTTGACACACACATGTATCTCAATAAGATCTACGAAAAAGTCAATGCGCGCATATCTGTCAAATGTACGGTTAAAGGGTTATTCCGCATTTTTTGCTGATCCGCACACATTGGAATTTCGCTAACTCCTCCTAAGGCTGGCGTTCCACCGGCACCACATTTGCTCAGGCCAATCTACACCCCATGGCCATTAAAAGTTATTCAAATCATGACGCTGCACCCCACGGTTTAGGTTCTAGGGGGCGCCAAAGATAACCCTAAAATCCACATATTTCAAAGTCTTATAACTTTTTATTTTTGTCCTCACTGGCCTCCAAGTTTTCTAGGATGATGCAATGTCCAGCCATCAACACATTTGTGAAGGAATTTTTACTCCCCAAAAGAGCGCCCCCCCATGGCAGGAGAAAAAAGTCAATTTTTTCTTGTCCCGTAAGGTGAAAATTCATATTGTTGAGTGTGACACCTGTACGCTTTGTCATATTGACACAAAATTTGACAATCACGTGTATCTCAATAAGATCTACGAAAAAGTCAATGGGTGCGTATCTGTCAAATGTACGGTTAGAGGGCTATTTTGCATTTTTTGCCGATTCGCACACATTGGAATGTGGCTAACTCCTCCTAAGGCTTTCGTCCCACTGAAACCAAATTTGCTCAGGCCAATCTACACCCCATGGCCATTCAAAGTTGTAAAAATCATGACGCTGCACCCCACGGTTTACGTTCTAGGGGGCGCCAAAGATGACCAAAAAATCCACATTCTTAAAAGAATCCACATTCTCCCCCCCCATGGTAGGAGAAAAAGTCAAGTTTTTCCTGCCCATCGCTCAATGGCTCAATCGCATCGCTCTCCAGGCAACACCGTAACGAGGAGCAACCTGCCATTTGGATATATCCCAGCTGTGTTTGTGCCCTCACTCATGGTCCAGACTTTTTTCAAATAGGACATGAAGTTTGTCTGCAGCGAGTGTTTTGGTAGAAACTGCGCCTCCCATTCATTATAATGCGAAATGACCACAGACAAGTGCGCACACCATCTTTGGACCTTGAGTGTGACGCGATCGGGAGGGGGAGGCGGTCACGCTGGGGGCGGCACGACGTGGCTCGGGCCCGACAGTGCCCCACCGGGGCCCTAGTTAGGGCCCGAGCGTAGCTGCTAAGCAGCTGCGAGAGCCCTATTATTCCCCAAGGGGTTTTTAGGGCCCGAGCCAGCTGCAGAGCAGCCGGGCGTAGGCCCTGTTATTCCTGTAGGGGTTTTTCTTTGTTTCTTTCTTTCTTCTTTTTCCTCCCCTTTGAACTGGAAAATGGCCCACTTCCCACTGGCGAAAACTCATGAAATTTGGCAGGACGACCGGGCCTGGTGAAAAATTCGATATTCTGAAGTCGCCCAAACAATAAAATGCAAAATGGCTCCATAGCGCCCCCTAAGGTGGAAATTCACACTATTGACTGTCACGCCTGTACGCTTTGTCATATTGACACAAAAATTGACACACATATGTATCTCAATAAGATCTACAAAAAAGTCAGTGCGGCCGTATCTGTCAAAATTACGGTTAAAGGGTTATTTCGCATTTTTTGCCGATCCGCACACATTGGAATTTCGCTAACTCCTCCGAAGGCTTTCGTTCCACCGGCACCACATTTGCTCAGGCCAATCTACACCCCGTGGCCATTAAAAGTTATCAAAATCATGACGCTGCACCCCAAGGTTTAGGTTCTAGGGGGCGCCAAAGATAACACTAAAATCCACATATTTAAAAGTCTTATAACTTTTTATTTTTGTCCTCACTGGCCTCCAAGTTTTCTAGGATGATGCAATGTCCAGCCATCAACACATTTGTGAAGGAATTTTTACTCCCCAAAAGAGCGCCCCCCCATGGCAGGAGAAAAAAGTCCATTTTTTCTTGTCCCCTAAGGTGAAAATACACATTGTTGAGTGTCAAGCCTATACGCTTTGTCAAAATGACACAAAAATTGACACACACATGTAACTCAATAAGATCTACAAAAAAGTCCATGCGCGCGTATCTGTCAAATGTACAGTTAAAGGGTTATTCCGCATTTTTTGCCGATACGCACACATTGGAATTTCGCTAACTCCTCCGAAGGCTTT